TTTTTTTTTTTTTTTTTTCCTTTTTTAATTTTCCAGCAAAAGACTGAAACGCCCTTATGAAAAAAAGGTGTCCTCACCCGTCCCCGTCGCCCTGGTTGTCACGTATCCTTTTGTAAGCGATTGGCCAAAGTGGTACTGGACCACATCGTCATATTTCCCAGTGTGACTTTTCACACCCACATGTTTTCACACTGTACTTTTTGTCAATGCAAAAAATATATATAAAAAAAAAAATAATTAAAATAAATGTTTTGGTGAGATATGTAAAGCATATCGTTTTTTTTTTTTTTTTTTTTCTTTTCCTTTTCATATTTCATGAACACACATTGAGTAAAACCATGTCACATTATTTTTTTGTTTTCCTTGTTTTGTTTTTTTTCCCCCCCCATTCCATTTCAATTTCCATCCACTCATTTCCTCCAGTTGACTTTTACCAAACCCAGGGAACCCCTTCTCTCACACGTCAGTGAACTGCCCAACTTTGATTAACCTACTGAACTTTCCCTGTTGGTCCAACTCCACCTCACCACCACCCAAATTGACGCTTCCTCCCTTTTTTTTTTTTTTTTTTTTTTCACCCCCCCCATTGTGTGTTTTTCCCCCTACACACACACACACATACACACTATGCGTGTACTTTGCGCGATTCGCACGTAAACGTAAGTTTGCCTCCGTTGGGGGTAGTGGCCGTACCATCAGCACACGTGTCCATGCATGTGAGACAGGGATGAGTGACTGTTGTGTCCTTAACCGTTTGTCCACACATACACCCCTTCCCTGCGCGTGCTCATATTTATATGTAAATGTATATGTATATGTACATGTACATGTATATGTACGTGTATAGAACTAGGAAAAAAAATATATACAGAGCCTCCACTGATATGTTCGCGAGTACGTGTGTCCCACTTGTCCACTGACACTCCGTGGTTGTTTTTTGTTTTTTTTTTTTTTTTTTTGTAACGTCCCTGTGTTAGGCCGGGGGGTGGGTGCAACATTGCGGTGGCTCTCTCTTCCGAGCGAAGGGGGCGGCATGTCAAGTGAAGGGATTGAAGAGAGGGAACCGTAAGTGACGCACACACGCACCGTGGCGAGTACGTCGACGAGCACCCAACACAATGCAGCAACAAGGACTGACCAGCAGACACATGGAAAAGGCAAATAAAAGTTGTTACGAGGCGCCAATATGCTATACGGGGCCCGGGCAAAATGGACTTAACACGCTGCGCGGCCAAAGCGCATACGAAAGTAACGCTGAAAAAAAGGAAAGCGTCCAGGGCCATCATGCCAGCATAAAACAATGGAGCAACATGATCAACCCAGAAGACGTGTACAGTGAAGTCATATGCAATGACATGCATTATGGTACCCACAAGAATAATTGTAACGGAGTGATATACGTGAACGAAAAGCAATATGAACGAATAATTAAACGCAGATTGAAAAAAATTAAACAAGACATTGAACGGAACAGGGAAGTGCGAGCATATGTGGCCATACAGAGCAAATCATGTTTGCGCATGAATCAATTTCATGCAAATCATTTTAACACATCTCTATACAACTACGATATGAATTCAAATGAGTCCCTTTTAAACGCCAAGGGTGGAAGACAAAACCCAGTGTCCACAGGGCTGCTAATTGGTACAGGAACCACCTCCCTATGCCCAAATGTCACCTCCAACAATAAATACCTGCCTCTGTATGATGATGGTATGAGGACAATTATGGACTCAAAGCCTAGCAGTTCTGCCTACGATAAGAGAAACGGTGTCTACCTCAACCAGTACGCGCCGCCGTACCCCAACAGTAGGGGCTGGGCAGGCAGCCTCAACCGCCACATGACGAGCGTGGCAAATGGAGCAAGCGTGGCAAGTGTGGCAAGTGTGGCAAACGCGACAAATGCGAACCACATGAACAACGTGACAAATGTGAACAGCTTGAACAATGGCAGAAGCGCTTCTCACCGGACCAGCCTGAACGCACTGAACCACGCAAGCCACGCGGAGGAGCTACACAGAAGAGGAGCAGAAAGCTACACCAACATGAACGATGAAAATATGTGCAACTACTCCAACATGGCAAATTTGAATAGCCTCAATGACTTGGCCAATTTGGCTAACATGAGTGACTTGGTCAGCATGAATGACTTGGTCCATATGAGTGACTTGGTTAATATGCCTGACCTGGCCAATCTCACAAACTTGACCCACCTCAACGACCTAGCCAATGTGCCCGATCTAGCCAATATGCCAGACCTGACCAACGTGCCTGACTTCACCAACTTTACAAACGTAAACAATGTGGACGGTGCGGACAATGCAGAACATGGGCCCAACGGGGTGAGCGCGACGAATGGGGCCAACCTGGGCAGGGACATGCGCCTAATGGAAGACCATGGACATATGCATGAAATGCACATGGGTCAGATGGGCGACGTGCACAATGTGGGTCAGATGGGCCAAATGGGTCAGATGAACCACGTGAACTACGCGAACCAGGTGGACCATATGAGCTACGCGAACCAAGTGGGCCACCCCAATTACTCCCATCATGCTGCTCACCTCGACCACCACAATCGAGCAGCTCACCAACACCACGCGGGTCACCAAAATCACGCGACTCATCAACACCACGCGGGTCACCAAAATCACGCGACTCATCAACACCACGCGCCCCACCTGGGCCAGATGAACCAGCTGAGCCACGCGAACCAAATGAACCACCTCAACCACATGCGCCAGATGAGCCAAACGAGCCACCTGAATCACATGAACCACGTCAACCAAATGAACGGCATGAATCACATGAACAGTTCAGGCAATTTAACCAACTTTTGTAATGCCATTACCGGAAATTTCAATTATGGTCCCTACGACGATTAGCATATGTTTGAGTGTGCCAGGGGTAAAGACGCGATGGGTAGTACCTTCGCATAAACACACAACAAAAACAGCTCCATGTAAAGAGGTGAAGAACACTGTGTCATGTGAACAGTTTTTCACCCCTTTTGGCTAATTTTGTATTTTTTTTTTTTTTTTTTTTTTTTATTTTTTATTGTTGTATTTTTTTTTTTTTTTGGCCTTCTTTGAAATTTCCACCTGTTTGGGCAGAACTCCACCAGTAGGTGATACTCTCCACGACACGTCGTGGGCCTCCTTTTGTTTTTCTTTTTAATTTGCTTCCACAATTATGAGAAGTGTATAAGGGGTGGAACGGAACTGCAAAGCGGCGTTGATCAAATGTCCTTCTCGGGAGTAGGTATATCGGTAAGCGTGCCAGACACAACAAACCCCCCTTCATCCCATTCGGGCAGTTCATGTGCAACCGACGGGGCTTCGCATGTAGAGATTGCACCCCAGCGGGTAGGAAGTCCCCTCATGGTTTCAGCGCAACGTTCGCACAGAAGGAATCTCCCAAAGGGGTTCCGTGTCCGTACCCCTCTTTCGAGGACACACTGTTTTAAAACAAAGACAAAAAAAAAAGGAACTTAAAAATGAGCCAAAGAACAAGTTGCAAAAGTTGGAGCACATATATAGCAATTGGTGTGTGTGTGTGTGTGTGCAAATTATCAAAGGGGATGGCGCCAGCGTAAGACAAATGTAAAATTCGGAAAATATAACGTACAAAAGAGGTAACTAAAAAAAAAAAAAAAAAAAAAAAAAAAAAGGAAAGAAAAAACGGGGGAGAGATATTCTCACGCGAGTTCTACGTGACAGTACACACCCATTTAGCCATCTCAACACGTAGGTGAATGGAGTGCAACTGGGGCGGACAGACAAATGGGACAAAATGGCGTGTCGGCGTGACGAGGAAGGAAGCCGCAACCTCCCCGCAATCAAACTTTGAACATTAAAACGGGAACGCCTTCTTTATCATATAACGCGGTCTGGTACAGGTACGGGAGTCCCGCTTCCTGACCATTTTTATTCATATTTATTTGTTGCTCCCTTGGGTACCACTTCTTTCGCCATCTGGTAGGGGGGGGGGGTTACATGACGCGGGGTGATATGGAGTTTACCCCATATCCAAGTCATCACAGGGCAAGTCCTTAATAACCCGCACGTATAGCTTCCTGCTAGGGTTGTATAAAGTTCGATCCAACGTATTAACGGCCCGTAGCATCCCTTCCTTACAATCATATTCTGCGATGGTAACTTCACCATTTAATTGTGTATAAATAACTTTGCCTGCCTTCATTAAAAAGGTTGTAACATAACCCATTTGAATTTTTTTCTTAGGGAAATTTTTCACGACCACTCGATAATGGGATCTGTTCTTTGGCAGCCGCAGGTTCATTATGAATCCTTGTGACATTCCCTGTCTTCCAGTACCAATAATAAAATCCCCCTCCCTCTTTTTCTTATCAACACTATATTCAACCTTTAATATGTACCCATTAATGTTTTGCCCGTTTTTTGTTTCAACCGTTTTTTCTGCACTCTGGTAATCTTCGTATTCTATGAAGGCATAATTTGTTCCGTTGTTGTTTCTATTATATTTGATTTCAATTTCTTTTATTCGACCAAATTGTTCAAATTCGTTTATTATTTGCTGCTTGTTCATTGAGCCTGGGATATTTCCCACGTAAACTCTGTGTCCGCTCTTCCCGGCCTTCATCTCGGGGTACCAGTTTTGTGTAGCGGTGGTGGTGATAGTGGCGGTGGCCGTCGCGGTGATCGTGGCAATGGCAGAGAATAGCTAGCTCACCCTCCAGGGACAGCCAATACAGGGCGCACCACTAGGTGTATGTGTGGGGGTAGGGGGTGAAGACAAAATCGGAACATGCTTCCCCCCAAAGGAAGCGTGCAAAAAAAAAAAAACAGACTTTGCCTTGTTTTGTACGTTAGGGAGAAGATGAACGAAGGGGAAAGAAGGAAGGTGGAGGGGTATACCGCGTCTTGTTATTATTTCTCCGTTCCTATCATCAATGCTTCTTTTTTTCCCTCTCCCCTGAGCGACGTGAGTGCCCCTTTAGGGCTTAAGGCTAGAACAGAGGACGGGGACCGGATCAACTTTCTGGCGCGCTACTAAAAACATGCAACACCCACCCCTCAAGGCTACATCAGGCAGAGGGAAAAACCAGTGCTGGTAAACATCCTCAAAGGATCAGATCATGTCCAAATTAGAAACTGTTCAAAATTTGTTGAGCGATTTACTCCATCGGAAAATGGCTTTCTTCCCTCCCCCCCCGGTTTCACGTGAACGAACAGAAGAAACGTGCGTTGTGTGTCACACTCTCCCCGGACGCAATTTGTCAACCCAAAAAATCATGGACAAATTTTTTCCAACCCATGCGTAGGAAACATACTTCTGCGAATGTTTATACTGGCGTGCCAGAGGGGGAATATAATTATCCTTCCCTTTCCCCCTAGCGTAAAATTAGTGCAACAATTGTACTAAAAAAAAAAAAAAAA